CCGGGTGCAGCGTCCAGCTCTCACCAGCTCAACCCTGCCGAAGCCGCCGGTGCCCAGGATGACGCGCTGGCCCTGCCGCGGCCCCTCCTCATAGTGCATGGCCACCAGGTCCTCCAGCCGCACCGGCGCCAGGGGCTGCCTCAGGCTCGGAGACCCCCAACCCCTGCGGGTGGGAACCGTGGCCCTGCAGCACTCGCACCAGCACCAAGGGGCTGCCGACACCCAACCCTGCTGGGGCCCAGGACCCCCCCGCTGCTCCCCAGGGACGGTGCTGGGGCGGACCTCAGGGACCTCCCAGCACCAGGCTGTACCCTGGGCCATGGGGATGCTGCAGCACCCAGAGCAACCCCAGGGACCCTGTGTCACCCAGCTGGACCCCAGTGACCCCCAGTCACAGGGCTGGGCTTTGGCTGACTTGCTGCTGTCTGTCCCCCCCCACCACTGCCCACCCACGGCCTGAAGCCAGGGAGCCCAGTCCCAGGGCAGGGTGGCCCCATCCCCATTCTCATCCCCTCCCTAGCACATCTCTATCCATTCCTGTACCAGTCCTCGTTCTCACCTCCTTCTTCATCCCCATCCCCTCCCATCCCATCATCCCATCCCAGTCCCCATCCCGCACTGACCTCCCAGGACCTTCTAGGGCCGGAGCTTCTGTCTCAGACGTGTTTCTGGGGTAGGAAGGAGCCGGGGGGGGGCAGGGGGCAGTGGCACCAGCCCCTGCTCAGCACCGGGCACCCTCACGGCCCCCTCCCCACAGTCCCTTCCCCATGGCCCTGGAGCCCCATGGCCCCACCAGGGACGGGCACAGGGTGTGGGGGGCAGCAGCGACCCAGAGCCACGTGTGGGACCAGGATGGAGCCACCTTGGCCGGGTGGTCCACAGTGGGGGGGCACCTCCATGGCAGAGTGAGCAGAGCCCTGTGCCATGGGGCTCAGTGGAAGCAGGATGATGCCTGGACTGGGGCACCCACCCCAGGCAGAGTCCAGGGCCACAGTGCAGCCCCCGGCCCGGCCGCACCATCACCAGCCACTGGCT